ATATAGTAATATCAACGATACGTAATAACAGTAAAAAATAATATCGAACACAATGGTTGAAAAAGAAATGGTAATACCTCGGTACCGGAATATCAGAGATTGCTTCCATGAGAACGTTATCGATGAATATGCTTAACTCAACTGAAATCAAACGGAGCGTTTAAACGGAAATAATCCACAACAACTGATAACAAGTGAATGCAATAAATGGAAAGTACTCCCCTCCATTCGTAAAAATTTCAGCATCCACCGATTCCAAAGATTTGCTGCCAGCTACCGAATCACCGATATCCATTACTCTCATCAACACATTGCGAATACGTGATAATTTATACTCAATGTTATCCTCAAAATCGAAAAGATATAGATCATGGAGAAGGTTTTCACTTACAAACCCTCGTTAGTAATTAAACATTTCAGTATCGCACTTCTACGCTATTGAATTAACACATGTGACACAATTGATTATGAATTGCTTATTATTATATTATTGTGACAATATTTCGTTACTAATGTATGAACATAGGTATTCAACCGATTGCAATTTATAATGAGTGGGCAAATGGAATTGAAATTTTGATGAGAACAATTGATTGCAATACGGATAATACTGACATTCTATAGACAATGATGAACTTATCAGTAACGCTGACACAATACTAACTTGATCGTTGTCCGGTGAATGAGACATAACATCCTCGTGACGCAACTTCTTCGCGTCCAATTCGTCAACCTCTGAAGTGGGGTTCGATCGCTGCGTTGGACTATCTGTACTTTCCATTTACACGAAGCAATCCCTTCAATAAGACGAGGATATTGTTTTAATTAATGAAATTGGCAGCAGTACGATTGTTCAGTGTTTGTCGCATCGGCAAATGAGATGAAGGGAGCGGTTTACCGGTTGAAATCATTGAAGATGATAATTCGTTAATATCATAACGAAAAAGAAACATAAGAAGGTAAATAAGCAAACGAATAACTTTAACGGTCAAAATATAATCTAGATCTTATGCGAAACCCCATATAATTCAAAAAGACAAAACACAACTACAACTGAAGAAAAATGAAAACAAACCAAATAAATCCAATAAAACAACCACGATCTTAGAACCCAAAACACGAAAATGAACATGTGGAAAATCGCATAAAGCATATTCATTCAAATCTGACTGATATGGAAAACTTAAAAACTTACTAATTTGAAAATTCACCAAAACACATACAAATTTATAAGCCTTTTCATCAGTATTTCTTTAAGGTGTAGTTCCAGGCTATGATCGGAAAGAACAGAGCAACAACAATCAAAACAATAATCGAACAAATTTATTACGTGTCACGATTAACAACCTGGCATCCAATTATTATAGATGCAAAATAAGCATCATGTACTTCTAACTGAGAGCCACTTCGACACGAAGCAGACATTTATTTGGTTACAACGCATTGAATCTCACTCTCACTCGATCACAGATGGTAGTCAGCGCAGCAACTTAATTCATGAAATGTCAGTTCAACAAAAACCAGCTACGGTTTATTGAGCTTAAGTCGGGGAAGAGCAGTAAAATTTTTGGAACTGGTATCATATTAACCAGTGTTCAAGGGCGACCACAAGATAATTTGTGGTTATGGAAAACTGAAAAACTTATTAACTTGAAAATTTACCAAAACATATACAAAAAATTTATAAAACCTTTTATAATTTATAAACCTTTTCGTTAGTATTTCTTTAAGGTCGCCTTTTTTCAGAATTCAGTAATGGTCAGGAAATTAAACAAAATACTGAAAAAACTGAATAATCATATTTTATCAGTTAAGCCGTTCAAGTGCCACACAAATATGTAAGTCATATGTAAGGGTGAGCGACAAATTTGTCTGCGACAAGTCTAAACCCCGACAAAAATGGTGAGGCATGCAGATGCTACTCGATAATGAGGCATGCGCAAATTGTCGGGGTGGCACATTGTCGTGGACGAAATTGTCAGAGACCCATACGTAAGCACAGGATCATCGGATGAGAATGCCAATCGATGGGTGTGTCCGGATGAAAAAACTCTTACAGTTCAGTATAGGGACGAAAGGGGTGAGGCCTAACACATATGTCAGTCATCCCGTGGATGAAACCTTGTGCCCAAGCTCTCTGCACTTATCTACAACTGCTTTTCAGAACAAGAAGTATTTCAACTGAAGCAAATTAAAATGAGTACACAAACACGATCCATGCTACGAGAAATAAACCACTGATAAACACTTAGCAACAACTAACAATAGTTTGGATTCATATTACGAAGTGCTCAATTCACCAGAAGTGCAGAATAGATTAACTGCAATCCATACTGCATAGTATTGACTTAATGTGCAGCAAAATGATGTGCGTTCTCGAGAGTATGTATAGAAATGAATTCATATTCCACAACATTCACCTGAATTGCAGTAAGGGTCAAACGCTTACTAATACAAGCTGAAATAAATCCATACTGCACAGTACTGACCTATTGTGCAATAGAAGTCAAATGC